CAATGCAGGGGGTCGGACTCGATGATCTATTGAGGTCCCTTCCGACCCTAACATCTATGAATCTATGAATCTAAATGAATTAGTAAGCATGCGTAGCTAATGAAATTCTCTTGCTACAATGTGTCATTCATGAATAACAAGCTTTTATTGGTTGTAGATGGAGGAATAAGAACCAGCTTCAGCCTCGTCCCCCACAGCCGATGGCCAGGGCGGCGCCGCGGTGGGAATCCCGGGGCCTGGGCCCAGCTCACACGGCTCCATCTGCCCCCGCACCACGCAGCGACCCCGCAGCACCCTGCGGGCTGCGCCGCAGCCCATTGCACCTGCTGCTGCGTGGGAGCACCCGCAATGTCTCTGTGTGGAGGCCGCAAGCGTCACGCAAAGCTGCTGTGAAGGTGGCGCCATGCTCCTGGCTGCGAGTCCTACTGCTGCTCGTGGGTGCTGCGGCCATGCCAGGAACCAGCGCCGGTGAGCATGGGACCGGGGGTAGGACAGAGCCAGGTCGCGATGTGGGGAGTGCGGGCACAGCCAGGTGGGGACGGCCTTGCTGCTAAACCAGGCTGCAGGGTCCTGCTCTGCTCTGTGCAGGGAGCCCGGGCTGTGGGGTCCCGGTGAGCGCCCCAGAAGAGAGACCGGATCAGGCGAGCCCCCTGTGCTTGTGGCCGGATCAGTCCAAACCCCGTGCACAGAGCAGGCCTCAGCTCGGCGCTGCCCATCCCCTGACGCCTCCCCTGGGCGCAGCACCCTGTGGACGGGCACCCAACACCTCCCCTCTCCCAGTGCGGCCGTTCCTGGCTGGCTGCGGCTGGCTGGGGAGCTGATGGTGGTGGCCAGGGAGAGAGGACCTGCTGCCTCCGACGGGGAAGGCGGGTGGCTGCAAGCCAAGGAGAAGCTGCTTGTCCAGCCGGACCCCCATCTGCTCTGCAGGGTCCCTCCAGCCCCAGCCCCAGCCGCGCAGCAGGACCGAGGCTGAGAGGGGCTGAGCCCAGGCCCTGGTTGCGGGTCCCTGGTGCAGACTCGGGCGCATGAGGGCTCCCCTGGAGCAGGGTGGCCCGAGCACCTGGGCTGTGCGGGGGCCATGCCTGGGACGGGGCATGTGGGGAGCATGACTGGGCTATGGGACACAGTGTATGGCCCCTCCACGCCAGGCCTGTGCCCTGTGGGGTCGGTCCCGTCCCTCCTCCCCAGCCCCTGCCCCGCACCCAGCCGGCTCTGCCCTGCCCTGTCGGCCCCACCGCCCCCTCGCTCTGTGCCCCCGCTACCACCTGGCGCAGCCCTGTGTCCATCCTCTGCGGCCCCTCCGGGAAGGGGCAGTGAGCACTGGGGGCCCTGGCACCTGCCCCGCTAGTGCTGACCTGTCACTCCTGCAGGCTCCCACTGCTACCGGCATTTCTACACAGGGGTGTCAGACCCCAGCCCAGGCGTGCCCGTCTTCACTGCTGTGGGCTACGTGGACGACCAGCGAATTCTCCATTACGACAGCGAGACGCGGAGACAGGAGCCGCGTGGGGACTGGGTGCAGGGGGCCGTTAGCCCTGACTTCTGGGACATGGAAACCTGGACCTTGTGGGGCTGGCAAGACGGATTTGAATCAAACCTGGTCACCCTGCGGGATCGCTACAACCAGACCAGGGGTGAGTGTGAACAGGCAGGTGTGAGCAGGAGGCACAGCTCATGTCCTCTCCTGTCCTGCCGGGGGTCCTGTACCCCCTGGGCACTGCCCCTGCTGCAGCCCAGCAGGGAGGAGGGCACCGGCTGCTGCCCGGCCTGGCCCGGGGTAGGGCCCTGCAGGGATCTCGGTCTGGTCTGTGCCTTGGCAGAGTCCCCGGGGCAGGGGCTGGGCCGGAGCAGCCGTCAGGTCTGAGCAGCTTCGTGCCAGGGCGCGAGGATGCAGAAGAGCCCCCGTGAGATGTGGGAGGGCCCTTCTCCTTGCCAGGCGGGGGCCGAGGAGCTGGCTGTCAGGTCAGACCGGTCCAGGGATGGGGCGGGAGGGCAGTGAAGGGGCTGCTGGTCCCTAGCAGAGCTGGTTTGGGCGCTGGGGCTGGAGCAGGGCAGGGAGGGGCGTGGAGGGCAGGAAGGGAGGAGGGGATGGGGGTGGGTGGTGGTGGGTGCGGAGAAAGGGGCCAGAGGAGACAGTGGGGCAGGGAGGGAGGGAGGGGCCCAAGCCAGAGTTGAGAATCCCAGGGGGGAAGAACTGGACCCGCAGGCATGAGGGCCGTGGTGGGCAGCGACCTTGTGGACTCAGACGTCCATGGGGGGGAGCTGTAGGGTGCAGGGGCCCAGCCCCGTAACCCCCAGGTGCCGGCAGGGGTTGGGCTGAGCGGGGCACTGCCCAGGGGACACCTCCAGGGCCGCAGAGTCTGGTCCCCGCTCCGGGCAGCTGCAGCATCCAGTGCTCAGGCTCCACTCCCAGGTCTCGCTGCCCCATGGGGAGGCTGCCCAGCGCCGCGGTGCTCCCGCACGGAGAAGCACCGCTCTGATTTCCAGCCTTGACTCTTCCTGGCTAGTCTCACCTGCCCCTTCCTCCCCCAACCTTGCCATTCCCCTTCCAGGGACCGTTCCCACCCTCCTCCAAGCCCTGGGCTCCTGCGTCCCACGGGGTGCAGAGGCCACAGTTCATAGATTCATGGAGTCATAGATGTTGGGGTCGGAAGGGACCTCAGTAGGTCATCAGGTCGAACCCCCTGCCCTGGGCAGGAAA